CTTTTGATCTCTTGGCCAATGCGATGAATGACATCCATGCAGAATTTAAAATCAGAGGCCAGATTGTGAAGACAACCAGTGATAATGGTGCAAACTTTGTGAAGGCTTTTCGAGTGTTTGGGAGGATGAAAACAACAATGAAGAGGTTGAAGCTGAAGCGTCTGAAGATAAAGGAGATACTGGAGTGCCTGAGGAAAATGTGAAGTACATTGACACTGCAGCTCTGCTGCATGAAGAATTCCAGCTGCCAAGACACCAACGCTGTGCTTGTCATATTCTAAAGCTCATGGCCAGAAGAGGGTTAGGGTTAGCTCAAGTGATGTGTACAAGAAGCTGCACCATGCAACGTTTGCCAAGTGTTATGGCCTGTGGAACAGAAATGCAGCAGAGAGATGGTTGAGGAAGTCTGTTCCCTTCAACTTCTGAGGCCAAATGAAACGAGGTGGAACTCGTTGTTCATGGCCTGGAACGTCTACTCAGGATTTGTGAAGAGAAGGGAGAGGGAGCCTTAAGAGCTATTGCCACCAATGTAAGTAGGCCAGAGGTTTTTTTCTTAAGTAAAAATAGAACAGCTGCAGAAAAACAAATGACAATTTGAATAACAGTGTCTATATTATCAACAAAAATCACTGAAAATCTGTCAGAAATGTAAATTTTCTATTCTGTTTCTCTTTCCATCTAACAAAAATCCGGATGTGTCTTCTTTTTTTGTCAACACAGGTTGAACCCAGCTGAACTCACATTTCTCACGGAGTAGGCTGCTGTAATGAGTCCTGTCGCCGCCCAGGCAAACAACATACTGCAAGCAGAAACCAACGCACAAATGGGTTGGCTACTTCCAACAATTCACCTGCTACAGATTAAGCTCGATAAAGTCAAGTTGCAGCTGAAGTACTGCAGGCCTCTTGTTGATTCTTTACAGTCTGGAATTCAGAACATGTTCAAGGATGCCGAGCTGGTTGCAGCTGCAATTCTTCTTCCCAAATTCCGAACAGCATGGATGAAAGACGATGTTGCCATTAAAATGGGTGAGCTTATACATTCATGAGGACACGCATCTGCTTCAGTGATGGTACATGTCAACATGCATGTTGACTGCATTCATGCAGCTCAAAACCATGTCAGTCCCACTACCATGCATTACTGTGAGCATCTATTACTAACTTCACCAACACATACTTGACACCATCTAAAACAAATGAGTTTATTGGTGTTATCAGACCACATGACATGCTTCCAGCAATCCATAGTCTTTCTGTCTCTGAGACCATAATAAACAAATTTGCTTTAGACAGTGTCAAGCATGTGATGGTGACCAAATGAGAAGGACAAAAAAGTGTTTTATGCTTTCATGTCAAGAATGATGGTGGGACTGACTTGGTTTGGGATTGCATGGATGCCGTCAACACATTGGGAAGCGTTTGTGCATCAATAGATTTGCTTGTTAGTTGGTACACGAAATAATTAATGTAGGCAAGAAAAAAAATCTAATGCTTTATTTCACTACTTTAGACTATGGCCGCAACATGGCAGAAAGCTGCATCGTTTAAGTGCTACAACTCATCTATATTTCTGTATTTCAGGTATTGATTACATCAAGTAGCGTCTCGAGGATCCCTCCATGCAGCCTGGTGATGTGACCAGGTTGAGTTCTTCGGATGAAGATGACTTCTTCTCGTCTCTGCAAGCATCAAAGACCCAAGATGGCGCCAAACAATTTGATGCCTACCTGTCCTGCTCAGCTGACCACATGGATTTGCTCAGGTCCTTTCCTTCTGTCTGCAAGCTGTCAGAAGGACAGCTTGCAGACAGCGTGTTGTCAAGCTCAACACGCCCCTCCCAGCATCTGCAGCATGCGAACGGCTGTTCAGCATAGCAGGTCTTGTGTTCAGCCCACGAAGAGTACAGCTAGATTCTAGGCACTTTGAAAGCCAGCTGCTTTTGAAGATGAACAGAAGGTTTGACAGTTTCAAGTGATAACAGTTTTATGTGCAAGGACTGAGAAGATGACCACAAGGGAGGTTGAGATTTGGAGGGGAAGAAAAAAGGTAGAGGGCAAAAGTGTAGATGGGATGAGGGACTTGTGTTTGCAAAGTGTTTAAGATTTAGTTAATAGGCCTGAAGTGCAATAACAGAACCATCATTTTTTTTCCTCTGCTGAGATGTACACCTCATTTCAGCACTGCCTTTTGTTATGTTTTCAGGTAGGTTTAAAAAAAAGCTCTCCCTCTTCAGATGCCAAATAAGCTGCATTTCCCTCCCAATTCTTTTTTTCTTTTGCATAATGACCAGTTGTGTGCACCTATAGTTTGTGAAGTAGAGTGTCAAGAGGTGGTGGTGTTTGAGGTGGTGAGGCAGCACGCTGGAGACCCAGGTACGTGAGTGATGATAATTTAATGGTGAAAATCAATTCACAAAACACAGTCCAGAAAGTTATCGCCGGCTAGGCAGCACGGCTGAGCGGAAGCCAGGGCTCACACCGGTAGCCACTAGTATTACAGGCGGAAACACATAAAGGACGGCAGACTTGACAAAGTACGACGACTTACAACGACAAGGACAACTAGGACCCAACGAGGAACAGAGGACACAGGAGGGACTAAATACACTGAGGGTAATCAGGGGAACAAGACACACCTGGGAACAATCAAGGGGAAGACAGGACAACGAGGAGACTAGGACACAGAGAACTCAGAATAAAACACAGAAAAACACAGAACCTGACATAGAGTAACCGTAACGGCTTTTTTTCTTCATGTTGGCCGCATTTTCTGTACTGACCATTTATTTTTCTCATTTTCAGCACTGACCTTACTTAAAGAGAAAACTTAAGGCTTACAAAAACGTTGTATTTTCTGTCCTGGAGGGTTTACTAAGAAGCTGGTTCAGTTGTAAATAGGCCTGTCATGATAACAGATTTTGCCGGGCGATTAATTGTCTCAAAAATTATTGCGATAAACGATAATATTGTTTGAAGACCTTTTTACATTGATTTAATGGAAATTACATAATAATACATGCGATTTCCTGCCAAAGATAGATACAATTTACTTTCAAAAGAACACTTAACACTGGGACTGATACACAAAATAAATAAACAACCAACCAAAAATAAAATAGATTCTTAGTCTAAATTAACAATAAATGTACTTGAATAAAAACTAAACAACATGAAGCCAAAGTGGAAATAAACACTGCATTCAACCAAGAGTGCAGATTATGAAGACTTTATAGTATATTGCCTTTCAGTAATAATTAGATTTAAATAGAGAAGAATACGACTGCCTGATGCAATAGTTCAAACTACAGGATTTTTTACCCCGAATGACAATCTTAGAACATTATTCATTCTAAGATTGTCCCTTGTGTGTTACGGTAGATCGTCGTGGCCGCACTGATCTAAATCAAGGATTTATCCAGACTGGGAGCTGAACGCAGCCTGTTGAATGTGACCGGTAGCCAATCAGAAAGCGCAGATTCCCCTCCTGCTTTCTGAGGGGAAACACAGATGTGCAAAACCCAACAGACCATGACATAATAGGACTGTTATTGGGACAGCACAGCCAGTCCAAGCAGTTTACCCAACGACAATCTTTGAACAGTCCTGCTCCATGTTTCCACTAACAGTAGCTTTTCTCAATGTGGAGATGAGAAAACAACAAACCTCTGATTGAGACTGGGATCCCCCAGTTGATTAGGATCATCTCAGTCCCCCTGAAAAAGATCTGGTTAAACAAATGTTGAGAGGAGTCAGGTTCCTTTTCCTGTTCCGATGATAATATTGAATGCATCGAGAACCTGCAACTGTCCATCCCACTGAAAGACACAGAACCTGTGGCTAAAACTTACCTCTCAGCTCCAAAACCATTATATCAAGAAGTGAAGAGCTAACTACATGATCTGATCACACAAGGTTGGGTGTGCAAATCGAATTCCCCTTATTCTTCTCCAGTGGTGTGTGTTCGAAAAAAAGATGGGAGCTTACGCCTTTGTATCGATTACTGTGAGTTGAACCATAAGACTGTACCAGACCAGCACCAGCCTTCCAACGGTGCATGGAAGAATGTCTCAAGGGATTCAGGGATGAAATTTGTATTCCATACCTTGATGACATCCTTGTTTTCAGTAAGTCATTCAAAAGCCATGTTGAACATGTCAGAACTGTGCTTAGACGATGGAGAATGCATGGCATCAAGTTGAAGCCAGCCAAATGTGAAATGTTTCGGCATGAGGTTCACTATCTTGGGTGCACTGCTGATACCGTTGCTGTCAGGGCCCTAAAAGACAAACTAAAAGGAGAACTAAGAGCCATTATGGGCCTTCTCAGTTATTATCATCAGTATATTCGAGACTTTTCTCAAGTAGCTGCTCCTCTTTATGATCTCATGAGAGCTCCCGCAGATTCAAATCAAAGTGACAAACATGTTACAAGATAGAGACAGAATAAGAGAAAAACTGGGACCCCCTCCAACCTTCCCATTGTTTAGACAGAAAAACATCAGCACTTCCTTGAGGAACTGTTAGACCACCTGGTGGAACAAGCATTCCTCGCTTTTCCTGATTTTAGTAAACCCTTTGTACAACATACAGATGCCAATGTGGGCCTTGGGTCAGTTTTAACCAGGAACAGGAAGGAAAAATGTGTGTAATAGCATATGCCTCGCGAACACTCACCAAATCTGGAAAAAAAACTACCATTTCCACTCAGGAAAATTGGAATTTCTTGCCTTAAAATGGGCCGTCTGTGAGAAATGTAGAGACTATTTGATTGACGTCATGCACTCTGTACATATATATATATATATATATATATATATATATATAATATATATATATATATATATATATATATATATATATATATAATTTATTTTTTTGTCATGGCAACCAACATGGCGCCGACTGGTTCTCCGCTGACGACTCGGCTGCTGAAGTTTTAATTAAAAACTTTCTTGTGCGTTTTCCCCGGACAGCGGGAGTTAGGGAATTAATTAGGGAAAAGCGAGATGCTCCTATTGGAAGAGGGAGGACAGTAAAGTAAGTCACTGGGCAGTACCAGTAGAACCGTTAGCTTCTTCAGTTGACGCCACCAACCGAGCTCAACTGGACTTGAGGGCAAGCGGCTGTAAAAACAACTTATCTGCAAGCCGTTAACGGAGCTGCAAATAAGTTAGCATCCGAGCCAGGCCTGTCCATACCCATACTGAGCTAGGTTAGCTCAGTAGGAGGAGACTAAGCTCTGTGGACGTGGAAATTGCTACAAAAGTTACAAAAGTTCAATGTAACTGACAACCGGGGAATTCCGGAAGGAATCAGCCGTTAAAGACACTTTGTATCAGATCAAGGGGAGGACTAGCTCCTGTTACATCCTGGGATGTAACATGTAGCTCCTGGGATGCTACCACTGCTACTTGGATTGACATCGCTGCCCCCTGGGATCCTACAGGGGCTGCCGAGGTCTGTTCCTGGGTTTTGTCGACTGCTCCATGGGCCTGCTCCTGGTCTTCAGTCACTGCTCCATGGGCCAGCTCCTGGTCTTCAATATATTAATGTATATGTCATCATTTTAACTAACTTTTTACTGTGTTTTTTGTGAATGTTTGTTGATTCTTGATTGTATGTTTACAATGTCTTTTTATTGTTTGGGTCTCCTTGTCTAGGACTACAGATGGAAATTAGCAATTATGCTACAATCTGGCTCATTTACAATCTATACAATAGTGTTGATTGTTCATTAATCAACATTAAAAATCGTTTAAAAATGAACTTCTCTTCTATAGCTGGGCTCTAAAAGCTCTTTACAGCATGCATAGAGCACATCTGCTATGAGACACCAAAGGTTGCTTCAAAGCACACTTTGCTATCTAAAAACAATTAAAAAAAACTATAAAAAAATTAATAAAGATTAAAGATTATACAGACAATAATCTGCTCACATATGTCTTGTCGACAGCAAAGCTGAATGCAACCGGGTGTCGGTGGGTGGCTGAATTAGCGGATTTTCACCTTACCATTCGATACCAACCAGGGAAAGAAAACATTGATGCAGACTTTCTGTCAAGGCTGCCAGTGGATATTAACATCATGATGGAACACTGTACTGAGGAAATGTCATCCCGTTCAGTTCAAGCAGTTGTACAGTCAGTTGATGACCCAAGTTCCCATGCAGTGTGGTCCATGGCACTCTCTGCTCAATGCAAAGACACAACCAAACAGGTCCCACTGCTGAGAACCTGCTGAGGACACTGATCTGTCGGCAGGCCCTGAGCCCCCAGCAGCAAGGGGAGGCACGAGGCCAGAAGAGGAACAAGAGAGGGTGTTAAACCTGAAGGAAGATCAAACAATGCCTGACCTGCTAGTGGAGCAAGATGGAGCGTCTGGATAACTGGAAAATTGTTGAGACAGCCACCTACTAACATTCATGTCACCTCCTGCATGTGTGAACCACAGTGGAGATGAGCAAGTACAAGATAGGCCTAAGAGAGAACGGCGACAACCACAGCAATTCACCTATGATGAATTTGGTTATCCATCTTGTTACAGTTTGGGACTTCCACCAAGGTACACATATTAGTTTGATCCAGTGCATTATTATGGTCCTTTTCAAGCAAGGCCTATGTGGTCAGAGCCAGTTCAAATGTCCACCTATGATCCTATGTTTGTGTATTGCTGATCCACCTTTTCTGGACTTGATATTGGCACTTAAAGACTTTGATTAGGTCAAGTGCCTGTATATGGACCAAGTAATCTCTTCATGGTTTAATGGATTATGTTTGTCATCTTACTCCTTTCCTTATTGAATGTCAAGGACGACATTTCTGTTGAAGGAGAGAGTGTGTAGTGGTTATAAAACTATTTTAGACAACTAAAAGGAAAAACAAGTTCTAGTGATCTGCGATCAATTATGTTGGTCTTTCAAGTTCAGCGCTACAGACAGATACAGTAAAAGGTAGCCTAAGTTTAATGAAGTTAAAAAAAAATATTTTTTTTTTGTTAATGCTACTTTTCCGGCTATGTTTGTTTATAATTCTTGAAAAATTTAACCTTTTAGATTGTAAGTTTCGAGCGTTTGTTAATCGAGTCTCGATTGGTTTTGTCTGATCGGATGTAGGGGAACGCGACGTTTCTGCTCCTCCTTTATAACACTGGAGACAAAAGTAGTAACATTGTGTCCGTGTTTTCATTGTTTCATTTTTACAGGGGCGTAACACATGCAGTCTATCCAAGCAAGCATAAGCTTCATATCAGTTTTAGAAGTCTAAACAAAATCAAGTTTGGGTAATGGACATTCAGTGTCTTTATACTACATCTTTATCACCAGGGGCCTCACACATAAAACATTGTGTAGTTTTCACACTAAAACTTGGCGCATGGACAAATTTAGAAAAGTGCAGTGCACAAAAAAATTCGGACGTGTGCACGCACGTGGCTGCGCACCTTTCCTTTACAAATCCCAATTTGCTGGAAATTGAGTGCAGGTGCTGGTCCATCCTGTCACCAACCATAAATACATAATTAGTATAAATACCCGGAAGTGTTCTCTCCCTTCATGCTCTTCTGGGCCACAAGGTGGCAGCTGTTGAGGCGGGGGGCAGAAACTGTTGGGAACCCGGGTGTTTGGTTGTCTTTTGTGGGGGGGTTTCTGTTGCCCACTGCTTCCCTCTCCTTCCACTAGATGGTGCCAAGAGGCTTCTTTACCTGAAGGGTGTGATTGGGTTCTATACACCTGTGATTTCTCATCTAATCATCTCAGAGTATATAAACAGCAGGCTGCCAGCACTTCAATGCGTGAGTATCAGTCAGTAATGGTACTGTGTGTTCCTCTGAGTTTGCTCCCTGTGTGTTTATGAGATTACTTCTAATAGTATATTGTTGCCTCTCCTTCAGGTGTTTCCTATTGATGCCTTGGATTTATCCCAGTGGAGCCCGAGTTCCTGGCTTTCTGGATTTCTCCCCTCGTGACACTGTGGCTTGTTACCGACTGGTTGCCCGAGTCCCTCCCTCGCCTCTGCAGTTGAACCACAAACGGTTCCTGGATTCTCAGCTGGCAGTCGGATTGCTCCTCGTTCCTCCTCACCTGAACTTACCTGTCCGCCCTCCACCGCAGCCTTCACCATCCACCTCCAACAAATTCACCATCTGACTCATTCAAACTCTTTGCTGCCTTGTGTGCAAACCCAGTCTAGAAGTAAAACTGATTTCTGCCATTGCAACAAATATTTCTATCCAAAATATAAGTAGTTTTTCTGCTGTCATGTAATAAAATGCAATTACATAATTTTAAAAATGACACGATGGGATTTTTTGGATTTTTGTTTTAGATTCTGTCACATTTGAAGAGTACTGATGATAAAAAAATTTTAGAATTCTAAATGCTTTACAAGTGAGAACAAATCAGCTGTGTATCAAATATTTATTCTCCCGACTGTATGTAAAAGGCATCCCTATATTTTTGTATACAACAACCTGTATACATGTATATACCAGCAGTGTATGGACAGCAGCTGAAACTCCCAAGGCACAGCATACAGTGATGTATGAGGAGTCCGGTAAGCTGCTCTGTCTCAGCAGATTCAGCATTACTGTTTGTTAAAGGCTCTTATGAATAGGTGTTAATTTCACTGCTGCGCTTCAGATGTGTGTTCCCTTTAACTGCTGCTACAGTATAACAGCTTACCTTCCCCAAAGTACTGTCAGGTAATCCAGACCTTTTGAGAAACAGCGCTGCTTCTGTTGGTCCTACTCTGCCAGTATTTTCAGGATCCACCTTAAGAAATATCCACAGAAATTTTTGTCAGTCATGTAAAGGTGCATTCACACCAAACGCACTTTGCATGTCTGGTTTACATTGAAAGTCTATGTGGAGGGACTTTGAGGGATAATGGTTTCTAGTATCTAGCATGGCACAATTTGAAGAATGTTGAGCAATTGATGCATCAAGTGCGTCCAATAAATGAGTGATTTTGACGCATCTGATGTGCTCTCGACACAAAATGTCAAGTGTCTGCATCAAAATGCAGACACTTGAAGGGTCGGCTGCATTTTTGACGCACATAATATATTTGTTGTGAAGCTATGTTCTTTTATTTCTCAGAAGTAGTAAAAAGGTTAGTCACATTAGTGGGGTCGTCATCTTACCTGTCTGTAGAAGTTCTCATAAACAGGATTTCCACTCACCACCTATCGCAAAATGTTTGACAATCAATAACATTTGTGATGTTAAAGCTGAATAGACCAATACTATACATACATACACACACACACACACACACACACACACACACACACACACACACACACACACATATATATATATCAGTGACGTGTGGTGAAGTTCATAGCTGGTGAGGCACTAATCATAATCATATTTACAAATATATACCCCCTGCATGTTATTGTTTACATAAAGAATTTTTGTGCATGTGGACAATTCTATTCTTTTACAGTCATGTACAGGCCCGCTGCCGCCATACAATCATTCTGTTAACTTCATCAAACCTTATTCATTTCATGTTGTACTCCACAGCAAAGGGGAAAATCGTTAAAGCAAAATTCAAAACCACTTTTTTCTCGCCCTCTGTATCAACACAGCTAGGAGCAGGCTCATTGCCATAGCAATTGACAACAACGAAACAGAAACAAAATACTCAAATATTTCCCACATAAAAAGCTGAACATTCAGTCTGTTTTCCTAGCATGGATTTAGGTTTAATGTTTATTTTGCAATTAATAATAAGTGATTGCTGTGGTACGAGGAGAAAACTATAAATATATTTGACTTTACTGTATGCCTAGCTCCATGGCTAGCTCGCTGTTACTGTCTCTTACGACCATTACAAGCATTTGAATGGGAAAATGCAAAAATTCAACAATTATGAAGAAAAAAATAATCAGAATTGGTTAAGCTAAATGAAAAATAGGTACTTTATAGTACAAACCTCAGGGTGAAAATGGAAATCTAAATTATTTATCATTATGGCCTGCCATAGAATTTCCTAGGTCTAGGAGAAGTTTATGATGGCGATGTAAAAAGCGAAAAACAAATAAAATTTCCAACTGCCGAAACGCAGTAGATTTTTCACTCCCAAAATCATTTTGAAATCGCCTTCACATCTACAAATATCGCTCTATTGGTATGAAAGTCAGTCATAATATTGCATAGAATGCCTGCTCCCGTAAAATGTTTTCAAAATTTCTTGAGGTGCTTCAGAGTGAAATCAGGGTAAACTCAGGCTTCCAGCCATTCATTTTCATCCTTTTCTCAAGAATGTCAGAGCTCAGCGCACACCATCTTTCTCTAATTGCTGTTATTAGTCTTGATTGAGGTTCAGATATGAATCGCGATACTATTGGAGACAAAAAATTGCCCCCTCATACGCTTCAAATAGTTTTCAAATACATCTGAATGGGAAGGAGTTGTTCGGACTCTTTTTTCAGAAAAACTGACTTGGTGTCTTACAAAGATAGAATTCTTTCTCCACTTTTCTGTCTCACATACAAATGACAGTGGCCTGAGGATTAATAATTATAACAACCGCACAGAGAAAGGTAGAGCTGCAACATCTCTAACCATGGTGAAACACTTTGTTAATACAGAGGGCAGAGCAGAATGTTAGAACTACAAACATGGCAGAATGTTTTGGATATTATATTACTGGTTTAACCCAACCACTGTTACTCATAGGATTATTGATGCTAATTGTTAGCATCAGAACGCTGGGTTCCAACCGACGGGCACACTTTGGCCCCGTTTAAATTTCTTCAGAAATCTTCCAGTTGTATATTATTTTCCCATGTCGATTAATAATGGTCACTTGTACCTTTTAGTGTTGCAGTTTGGCCAAAGAGCCAGTTCATAGAGAAACTAAGATGGTGTAGAGACCCCAGAATAGGAAAGTAAAAAGGTCTAAACAGTGTGGGATGCAAAATGGGATGCATTTTGACTTGGGGTGCACCAATTGGAGTTTTCTAGCCGATCGCCGATTACCGTTCTTTAAAAAAGCTTAACCTGCCAATTCCAATTTTAGCTGTTATCAATTGTTTTAGTCTAAAATGTTGCTTAATATTGCAAAAAAGTTGTTGAGTTGACAACAGTTGGGTAACTGTTGTTAATTATAAATGTGCAGAAATAACTTGGTGGGCCAGTCAGTCAGTCAAACCTTTCTCACCGGAGAGTAAATGAGGACAATGGTTGATTCTTAGACCTTTGCCAAGCTAAATAAGATTGGCTTCACATGTAAAAATTGGGGAATCATCAATCTCCCAAAATAAAGGAAATCGCCACCCATAAATCGGCTAGTTGATAAATTAGTGCACTTCTAATTTTGATGTATGAACACTTTCTTGTTATCACATTAATAACAGTCATTCAGTCCAGAGGCATGACGGAGCCAAGCCGATTTCTCAACCAAAACTTACTGATGTGCTACAAAGGCGAGGATGTAATGACAGAAAAGCAGAAAGCATTTGGCAGAAAAACTGTAACATGATGGAAAAGAAACATAAATCTAATAAGCAAGGTTGATTTTGAGGGCTGTCATCATTCGTTCAAAAGCAGACAATATTTCTGTGTAAATATCTCTCTGTTCATGAGGAATTAAGTGTGTCACATATTCTATTTCCTTCATCTATTCAATTTTCTCTTTATTCAGCATACAGCTGACCCAAAATAATCTTAAAATTTAGTGGGGGGTTTTATTCACCACATTATTAAAAAAAATCTCTTTATGTTAAGAAAAGGTGGTTGCCCTTCTTGATACAAAAGAAAATGTAACTTTTTAAGAAAAAGGTTGCTTATCCATTAATCGTGAAGTCGATCGACAAGATCAATAAACTTATATAGGTACATAATAAAATAACTTCACATGCAGTTTTCAGTAGCTGGTGTCCCAGATGGCACATAATGGTAATTCAACGTTGGATGGCAATCAAAATGGTTGATTTTTGGTTGAGGTCCACAACTGACGGTGGACCAATTATCCAATTCTAACCAAGAACCCAATGTTGAAAATGTGTCATTGAATCAATGTTGTTTTGTGGTTGAAATCTAATGAATGAAATGCTGATGTCTGATCAATGTTGAATCAATGTATGCTGTTTTGCTGCACCCCTTCTCTTCCTCTTCTCCTCATCGGAGCTCTGGGTCAGAGCATTTTAATGGGGATAATCACGTTTGAAATTAAGCACTGTTGAGGATAGTGGGTTGTGATTCCTTTCTGTGCATTTCCTTACTTGTACAATTCTTATTGACTGTGCATGATATATTGGAACAAAAACATCCACAACTTACTACAAGGAGTGGAGCAGTCCACCCCCTATTTACATGAATAGGATGTCCCAACCACACAGCCACTTCGTTGTTGGCTTGTTTGCAAAAGATGTTAATTCAATGTTGAATTATTACCACAAAAGTACAATTTATGTTCAAGGTTGATGACGGATGGTGGATAAACCATCAATCATCCAATTCTAGCCAATTAACTCATGTTGAAAATGTGTCATTGAATCAATGTTATTTTGTGGTAGACTGCCGAGTCCAATATTTTTTAATACTGGTCCTCAGGGCACACTGCCTTGCAAGTTTTATCATTTCTATAATTAGGCACACATGATTAACAGGGTTTAGCTAAACTGAAAACATGCCGGTCAGTTTGACTTAAGAACCAGGGTTGGGAAAAATTTTGAATCAAAGTACGCTGTTTGTTGCACCCCTACCCCACACCTCCCCAATTACCCTTTCCCATGTTCCATCTCCCATGCCCCCCCAACACACACCCACTAAACCTTCCCCTCTTTTCCCCCCATTATCCCCTCCCTCCCCCCCAACTCCATCCTCTCCAACTCCATCCTCTGCCTTCCACTACTCCTCTTTGAATTCTGGGTGAGAGCATCTTATTATTCAGGGGGAGTTAATCGTGTTTTTAAATTAGCAGTATATTGAGAACAGTAGGTTGTGATTCCTTTTCTTACTTGTCTGTAAATATTATTACTGACTATTTGAGCATATTGTGTTGACACAAAAACATCTACAACTTACTGCAAGGAGTGGAATATCCCACTATTTACATGAGGGGTGTTCCAACACTTCGCTATTGGCTTGTTGGAAAAAATGTTAATTACAATCCCAAAGGTTGAATTTATGATTTCGGTTGATGATTGGTGGTAGATAAACCTTCAAACAATCACTCAATTCTAGCCAATTAACTAATGTTGAAAATGTGTTTTCAACATTAGTTGTTGTTTTCTGGTCAAACTCTATTGATTGAAATGTCTACTAAGCATCTAATGCAGTGTTTTTCATCACTGGTCCTCCAAGAACTCTGCCCTAATTCAGCACACATGATTTTAATTGATGGGTGATTGACAGGGTTTTGCTGAATTGGAAACATGCAGGTCAGCTTGCCTTGAGGACCAGCATCTAATCAATTTTGAATCCAAGTGCGCTGTTTGTGGCACCCCTTCTCATCTCCTCCTCCACCCTCTCCCCCACCCACCCGGTCTTTAAGACCCCCTCCCCAACCCCAGTTCTCCCAATCTCCCCCTCTTTACTCCCCTCTGCCCCCCTCCATTCCTCATCCACTCCCTGGTTCTGGATCAGAACATTTATTACTGGGTGGGTATTAATCATGTTTCAAACTAAGCACTACATGTTGAGAACAGTGGGTTGTGATTCCTTCCTGCACATTTTCTTACTTGTCTATAAATATTATTACTGATGTGTTGACACAAAAACATCTACAAGTAGTGGAATGGTCCGCCTCCTATGTTTTACACTAGTGGTTTGTCCCAACCCCACAGCCCCTTTGCTGCTGACTTGTTTGCAACCAGCTTCTGAATTGAATTGTACTCTGAGCACTTTTATGGTAAGTTTGGCAATATTACTTTGATCTTAAATGTGTTAATTGAAAAATAACTGCACTGTTTTGTGCCTACATTACTCTTGGTTATTTTGGGAGAAATCAAATATTTTTAATAATTGAGGTCATGTCTCTGTTTGTTTTTTTTTTTATTCTGCCCACCACTCTAGGCCTAAGTATGAAATCCAACCAGGGATTTGTGGGATTTGAGTTTTTAAAAAAATAGGGCGGGGCCTATTTTTTGGTCCAGGAGAGCATGTGACACACATAATTTAATTTGTTTTTCATTTTTTATTGTGATGTGCTTAGAGATATGCTTACATGTGCCTCTATTCCAGAACAGTTGAGTTAGATGATAGCATGATCTCTAATGCAGCCATCAAAAACTGCAAAAGGCTGTTAATCAGCTACAGATTCAATCCAAGTGTGGCAGAAACACCTAAAACATGTAAGGCAGGTAAAACACTGACCTAAACCTGAAACTGAACTAGTCTATTACTACTTGTGCAGGATCTTTATCAGTATATGAACATTTTTTAATTAATTTAATCATCTCATTTGGAAATGTTTATGGTTAATGGAAGATTGAGCCAGTCATTTGATGTCAGTTTATCCTGTATAAATTGTAAATAATTTTTCCAACTACAATACAAATCACTTTTTGCTCCATTTTTCTGTCTCTGGTGTGTTAAATCAAACCTGATCCTCCCTGAGTTTTATTTTTGTGTTTTCTGATAAACAGCCCTTTATTTAAAATATTGATTACCTCATTTTAACATGAGTGGAGCATCATAAATGCTACACTAAGGTGCAGCTTGATAGGTGAATGTAATTGTATATGTCAATTAACATTAAGATAAATATTCATTAGCATTGTCACAGCCTTCTATTTTCCAAAAAATCTAAATTTCCAACCAAGGCCGTGGGTGTTAAGAGGTGGTGATTTGAACGCACTTCTTCAATGTTTGTAAAAAATATAATGTATTTCTTGAAAAAAATAGTGACAACAAAATACATAATTAAAGTGTCTTAAAATGTAGTCAAAATGAAAATTAATCTTTAAAAGGTGTCCAACAAAATGCTCCAGAAAAGTGGTCAAAAAATCATTTTCAACCTCCCCTCAACACACCAGACATTTACCAAACAAATTTTCTCTCGTACCCAACACCTGGTGTGTTTTTAATTACTCAAATTAATGAGAGGGTCTAACAATTAACATAGTCTTACTCTAAACAATTCCAAATACAAAAATTATTACAAATGTTGATTCTAAATCAACTTAAATATATTCTAACCACCCAAAAAAGAAAACTAAATTGTTACAAATTATAATTCACAAAATTTAACATAAATGGCCATGACAAGCATGTCCTTTTTAATTTAACCAAGTGTACATGGGGAACTGTATAGTTTGTGTTTGTTCTCAGACCTATAACCAGTACCAGTACTATTTAATATTTCAATGTCTTTCAGAACTTTTCAAATGTTTATCAACTTTCTAACCGACTCCTTCCTCACTCTTATTTTTGTGTTTTTCAGCTGCTGCTCAGCGGTTTGACCTATAGCTGAGTGTCACGCACAAAAGCGAAACTGTCAAGAAGTGGCTTCATTAGGTGACTGAATGGGAGGAAGGCATCAAGGAATCAAAGTGATGCAAACCAGAGTCAAACTTGGGTTGTCCAAACTTGTCCTGTTTCCTGGTTCATACAGTACAAAGTAGGGACACTCCATTCAGGAATTGCTGCTGATTCCGATACCAATCACCCATGAGGCCGAACTTTGCCGATCACCAATCTCTGCCAATCAATTGGATTGGCTGTTAATTTTTAGCTTTAGGTATAAATGCTGCTACATGATCTGACAAAATGAAAAAATTATCTGCCAGTGAATTCACCTAATTTAGACATAACCGGACAAAATATTTGCAGGCACAGTACAGCAGCTATTCAGTCAAAAGGACAACTGAAAAACCTGCAATCACTAAAACAATATTTAACAGTAAGGTTCTCAACACCTTATACACAAGTCAAATAAATCTCATAACACTGCCTATCTCAAAGAATGTCAAGAAAAAATAAATATTCATTCAGAGTCAAATGCATCAAAATAAACAATCCTGAGTTAGTGAATCAAAACTTCTAGCTGATTAATGCTGGTTCTGATTGCTTGCCTCTGACTGAGCAGAGTAATTCTGCAGAACATAGGGAGGAGGAGATTGATTTTTTTTCAGACTATCTATCTTACGTACATGCATAGCAAAAGTTTTAATGCATGTGTAAAATATTTTGTTTTAAATTGCATGCTATAGCTTTAAGCAGACGTTCGGTGTGAGAGTTCACTGCAGGTGGAGCTCCGACCAGTAGCGCTTAGCTGCTGTCCAACAGCGGGAGCAGGACCAGCGTCTTACACCGCTAGCTTTTTGGCTTACAGTATCGGCTTATTTTGTTTAGACTCCAGACTACTATGGTCTTCCAGGTGAGTGTTGGTAGTTGTGCACTGCTTTACCTGCTATTTGATCGCTGCAGTGAGTTATGATGTAGCCAAACTCCATCAAGTGTTTTTTATTTTCATCATCATATTAGATTTATTGTGTTGAACCATTATAACATGCTTCACCCCGAGGTATTTCTTCAGCAAAACACGTAAACGTCCCCATTCACTCAGTCTTGTAGCTCCTCACCACATCGCTTAGGATTTGTTGCAGCACACTTGCGCAGTGTGAAGGAAAGAGGATATCAGCTGCACATGCAGGCTGCAAAGTGATGTCAGCAACAAGAGACCGTGATCAGAGATGAATGATTATACACTTTTTCATGGAAATTGGCCGATTATGATCGGTGGCCGATCGATTGGCACAACTTTAGTGCAAACCTCAACCTCATGGACGCCATTTTTCCATGGACAAGAGACTGTTGTTCAGAAAGTCAAAATGGAGTTAAATATGTTTAAAGATCTATCCCTCTTAAATAAAATGTTATCAATGCCATGATGTAATTTTTAAACTTTTCTACATACATTTTTAGAAATATGTTAATGCAAGATCATTTTGACCAACATGTAGCTGTAATACCCTTTATTTGCCAATAAAATAGTGTTTAACACCAGTGAAGAAACTTTTAGTGGTATGTCATAATGTAGCCCTTTCAGACCAAAAAATTGACAAAAATTCTTAGCTTTCATTAAATATAAAATCATCCCAAATGTATATGTAGATTCACATTCAGATGATGGTTGAATCAACATTGATTCACTGTAAAATCAACACAAATATGCATGCAAATTGATGGTTGGCTCAATATTGATATGTTATGGTAGGAACCCTAACATTGATTAAACATGTAAGTCACCGACTACTTTCAATTCTGTTTCAATGTCAGACTTCAACTAGATTCAAAGCCTGACATTGTTACAATGTTGTTTCTCTCCTATTGAGCTATCTGGGTGATCAATGCAGACAATATGTCATCTTCAACATCACTTACAAGCTTTATTTACTCATTACTTGGAGGACAAATAGTTTATTCTAATCCACTGTACTAGTATCATAAGCACAAAATCAATTCAAAATAACTTGACTTGAACCAAGTCACACTATCAAGATGAGACAATAGTTCAATCCTACCACTGTTAATACATATTTTTTACGATGTGTCAGCATAATAGATATGAAGATATGAAATGAAGCATCATGTTCAGCACACATTCAACTCCCATCAGTATCACATTTAACCCTTCCTGGTATGTCACTCCATCCTTTTCACCTAGCATCTGAGCAAGGCTAGCTTTAGGAGTCAGCAGTACAGCCGAGTTAGCCTTAAGCTTGGCCAGGCTTTGTGTCTGTCTATGGTGGCTTTTTCTCACATGAGCAGCTGTCATCTTTTTTTGAAAAACACCATGTGTATCTACATAAACTAGAACCTGGTGTCAGAGGATGCTAATCAATCCGCTAACAAACAGGCCTACTTCCACAATCTATCTGCATTATAAGAAATTCGCCTCGTATTTTCTGTAAGCTCCTCTCATGCTATTATTTATTGCTGGACGATTCGGTCTGACTCTACCGCTATGTAGAGCTTTCTGTTGAGGAAGATGATGGGGGGAAATGGAAGCGTCGTTACCTGGGTGAGAGATGCGACAGTTGCCATCTTCCCTGCTACTGCTGAGAGACAGACGCTCAGTGACGCGCCTCCTCCTGGAACAGCCTGCTGGGTTTCGTCACTCTGAGCAGCATTACGTCACACTATCTATCAGATGTTCCTACTTTAACACGGATCGATAGCTCTGTGTGTGTCTGTCTGTCTGAACGTCTAACTTCACAATAAATATTGACAACTTGACACAAATACATTATTCCATCTTAGCTCACTGCTAGAACACAAACAATTACAGCAGCACTATTCTCCAAGGGCTGGTAGCTCACTCAAACTAACAAATATTTATTTCAAAAACAAGAAATCATGCATACATAACCAAGAACAAACATAATTATTTTACCACTCTTTTTCTGTTTGATGGAGAGTGGAGAGAACACCTTATGTCAATGTAATGACTTACTTACAATGGCCTAATTATTTAAAAAATGTAATTAAAGCTAGGTTGTAATATTTATGTTCCTGTTCAATATACTGTGCTAAAAAGTCAACAAATTATATTACATAGAAAAAATGGTTACAAACTAACATCTCAGACAAAAAAATCTATGGATAAGTAGTAAGAGCAATAATGACAACTTAAATAGCAGTCATATATACAGCAGCAGAATAATTACCAATGTTGTGAGGTTCTGTTATATTTAGTATCTACAAAAATACTTGTAAAGTGGTAGATGAACATTTAAACAGAAAATAAGTTTCATAAAGATCAACAAACAAAATGCATATTTGAATGATTTTGGATTTGAAAATCCATCCATCCATCCATCCATCCATCCATCCATCCATCCATCCATCCATCCATCCATCCATCCATCCATCCATCCATCCATCCATTCTCTGATCATCCTTCTCCCTAACGGGGTCGGGAGGTGCTGGTGTCTATCTCCAGCTGCATTCTGGGCGAGAGGCGGGGTTCACCCTGGACAGGTCGCCAGTCTGTCGCAGGATTTAAAATATCAAATGATAATTTTCTCCAACATTACATTGAAAAATAAAGAGCAACTGTTTCCAAATTTATAGGATTTGTTGCTGAAGATGAGAGGAATAAACGCAGTTAAAGATTAGCAAGTAAATTTATTTATTATTATTTGTCATGGAGGGGGAACAGATTATTCCTGGCAGTTAAAACATATGGTCCCCCTAATAACACTTGTGAATAATGAGCAAGAGTTTCCAATATCACAGGATTTGTTATTGATGAAGAGAGGAATAAGCACAGTTACAGATTTTGTGAAAAAATAATTAACCATAAATTTATCTTATCCTGTAATTTGTTATATTTAACATTAGAAGGAAATTTTCCAGAAAGTTTACAATCTCATCTTTTCAGGAAGTGTATTCTTCATGTCCTTCTTTCAGCCAATCTGGTATTCCAATGCTTATGGAAGCTGGCTGAAAGAAGGACATGAAGAATACACTTCCTGAAAAGATGAGATTGTAAACTTTCTGGAAAATTTCCTTCTAATGTTAAATATAACAAATTACAGGATAAGATAAATTTATGGTTAGATATTAGCAATGAAGAATTATAAATTATAAATACACATAATTATAAATACACATAATGTGTTGGAAAACTGTGTTTGGTTACTAACGTTTTTTTGTCAGGCTTAAGTGACAAAAGTTGGAAAAAGACTGATTCTCTTGGTCATTAAAAACAACACAAAACTGTGTGAAAAGACCTTGTTTATTTATTTATTTTACAGTTTTGTTTTGCTGCCGATTAAACTGAATGTTACAACCTTGACATGATCATATGAGCTGTTTTACTGAGAAATCGATCAGAAGTGCTGTGATAATGAACAATCCTCTCGAGCTGCAGTGTGTGCTCCCAACACGGGACAGAATTTCTCACAAGACCAGCATTAGAGCCTGTCTTTATGTACAACCAAATCACATTATTTCTCAAGGTAATTTATTCTGAGGGGTTCTGGTCGAGTCCTGAAGCTGGTAAACACATGTGGCTGGTGCAGAGACAAAATTGAATGAACTCCAACAACTTTGACTCAGGCATGGTCATCTACATCAGGAGGATGCATTGGACGTGAGGAGATATAATAAATGTAGATATATATATCTACATATATAGATATATCTGTAGATATATATCTATATCTACATAGATATAGATATATATGCAGATATATATCTATATAGATATATATGTGGATATATATCTATATCTATATAGATATATATGTAGATATATATCTATATATAGATATATATGTAGATGATTGATGTGGACCAGACAGGTTTCATTGGTAATAGACAAGCGCATGACAGTATAAGGAGGGCCTTTCATGTTATTGAACATATAATTAAAGAAAAATCAAGTGCAGTCCTTCTCAGCTTAGATGCCGAGAAGGCATATGATACTGTAGGGTGGGAGTTTTTGTTTCAATTATGAAGCAAAACTGGGTTCTGTGACAGATTTATTCAATGTCCCATTGAATAAAACTATGTGATCCTCATCAAAAGCAAGAATTAAAATTAATGGAAGCCTTTCGAATGAAATAACATTACACTAAGGATGTAGGCAGGATGTGTGTTCATTAAGCCCACTACTCTTTAATCTTTTTATGGAGCCACTGGCTCAGGTTATTAGGGAGGAGTCTGGGCTGGAGGGGGTGACAATAGGGAATGTGGAAAACAAAATATGCTTTAAGATGTTTTAGTAGTAATTAAAAACCCTGAATCTGGTATTCCAATGCTTATGAACATTGCTTATGTATATTACATTTTTGGATATAAATTCAGTGTACAAAAAACTCAACTTCTGACCTTCCACTTTGTTTCGTCAAAACAATTACCGGTAATAAATAGTTACCGGTTCAATTGGAATCATTTACAAATAGAGTATTTGGGGGTTTTATTAACAAAAATTGGACTCAGTTATATGGAGCTAATTACAAATGCATAAATCATAAAATATATGAGGACCTGGACAGGTGGAGCCTGCGTTCCCTTGACCTCAGCAGTAGAATCCAAACAATAAAGATAAATGTTCTTCCAAAACTATTGTACATATTTGCAGGTCTTCCAGTGAGGTTGCAGTAAAACAATTTAGGGAGTGAGATAAGCATTTTTCAAGGTTTATATGGGGCAATAAAAGGCCAAGAGTAAGATACTTGACCCTGGAGCTGCCTGGGGATCGGAATGGGGAATGGGTCTGCCTTACCTGGTGGATTACTACCTGTCTGCCCAGATTAGACCTCTGGTACTGGTGTAATCCAGCCTATGAAGCTAAATGGAAGGACATTGAGCTTTCTTTGTTGGACTTCCCTATGCAGTCTGTTCTGGGATCTTTTGATGGGTTGCCCCAGATACCAATTACAAAATCTGTGTTTGAGTTTCTCTTTTTGAAAGTGATTGTTAAAAAGTTCAATACTCCCCAGAGGAGTATTGAAGTGGCCTTATTACCATCCACATTTCCTTCCAGCATTGAAACCACAAATATAGAAGATGGGCGAAACAGGGGATCATTGCATTCTTTAATATAGTTAAGAATGGGAGTTTTTGAAATTTGAGAAGATTTCTACCGTTATTTGCAGGTCCAAAGTTTCTTTAGGAAGGAAATCAAAATCCCTGACTTGGAGGCAGAGTCAGGAATAATACAAATATTTATATATTCATATGCTGTCAATAATACTAAAGGTGTCATCGGCAAACTTTATAGAAATTTTACACCTATGAATGAGAACTCAACTGATTATATTAAGACAACGATGGGAAAAGGAAGCAGATGTAATAATTTCACCTGATGATTGGATGCAGATGTGGAGAAACGCTTTGTCCACCACAAATTCTTTAACATGGCGCAATTTCTGCTCGAAAAATCTAATCAGATCTTATATTATACCAAAGCAGAGATTGAAGCCAGTTCACAGTCCTCTTGCTTGAGGGAAACCGACGTGGTCTCTGTGAACTGCTTTCATGATTTTTGGGACTCTCTGCAGCCGAAGACATTCTGGAAGGAATTCTGGGCATAACTTTCACTTCCTGCTATGTATCTTGGAATACTTTCTGAAGCTCTCAGTAGTAAGAACACATACTTGTTGAAGATATTTATGATTGCAAGCAAGAAGGCAATGACTAATTGTTGGGTCCAACCTAGAACCCCCACCCTGAAACTCCTTGTGAATATTATAAACCTGATCCACAATCTGGAAATGTTGACTTTTACAATACGTCTCCAGAAGGGGAAAGGAGAGCGACTTTTGTAAAAATGAGATTGTTTTATAGCCAAAGGCATGTAACAGTTAATTTTTGTGATTCCACGCCATTCTGAGTTACAGGCACCTGGGAGTTTTCCTCTTTTTCATTTTTTGTGACTCCATGCAGTGAAATGTCTGTAAAATTATAATGGTTATCAGTGTGAGTGTTTACCTGCCCTAGTTCTCATGTTTAACCAAACATGAGACTTACTTGTATGAACAAAAAAGAATAAAATACAGTACAACAACAAAAAAAGAATGTCTTAAAAAAACCTACTGTGAACCTGTCAGGGCCTGGCAATTTTCTGCACTGCATGGATGATATAGCTGCTTTAATTTCTTCCTACATAATAGGGGCTTCAAGATTTTATCTTAAGTCACATGAATAGTGCCAAAAATCAATATTGAATATTGAATCAATAGCTGACTTTCAAAATTAGCTCCTTGGTCACTATAGTCTGTACAGTCTTGAATAAAACTCTTTAAGATGGTCATGGAAGTTGGTATATAACCATGTATGCAATGTTTTAAGCAACAGGTATCAGTATTTTCAATTTCTCAAGATGTGGTCTTCAGTTCAAAGAAGAACTTAAGGACACCGCACACACACATACACACACGCACGCACACACACACACACACACACACGCACGCACACACACACACACATACACACACGCACGCACACGCACACACACATGCACCCACACACACACACACACGCACCCACACACCCACACACACACACACACACACACACACACACACACACACACACACACACACACACACACACATAAAGAAGGCTGGTTCTGTTTTGGAGACAACAGTGGAAATGACTATGCAAAGAAGGATTCTTCATGGGATCGAGAAAATTATGGACAACCCCGATCATCCTCTTCACAAGACTGTCTTGAGAAAGCAGAGCATCCTTCAGTCAGAGGCCTCTTCAGATTCAGTGCAGTGCAAACTGCTGCAGAATATCTTTCCTGCCAACAGCCATCATAATCTTCAATAACATTTCAAAGAATGTAAATTAATGAGTTACAACAAAATTTAATTTCTCTTTGGGATTTATAAAGTATTTGTGAATTTGAATTGGATTTGAGGGCTGCACAGTAGCGCAGTTCTGTCCTGGGTTCGATTCCCAGCCTGTGGTCTTTCTGCATGGAGTTTGCATGTTCTCGCTGTGCATAGGTACACTGACTTTTTCCCACAGTTCAAAACATAATTGGTCTTTCTAAATTCTCCTTAGTTGTGTGGGTTTGTGCATGGTTGTTTGTCCTGTCTGTCTCTGTATTGTCCTGCGACAGACTGGTGACCTGTCCAGGGTGTATCTTGCCCAAAATGTTACGTGGAGACAAGCACTAGCACCTCCTGACCCCATCAGGGACAAGGTGTTAGAAGATGGATGAATTAGATTTGAATCACATACTTCATTTTATCTGTTTTATTTGTGTATTATAAAATTTCCTAAGCCAGGAGCTGAGTGCAGATTCCACAAACAAGAAAAGATATGACAATAAAAAAATGATTAAATCCTTGAATTCTATACTGTTGTGTAATAGTGAAATATTGTCTGTGTCGTTCCAACCGTCAGCTCTGACCTCCTCAGTGTTCTATTCATCCTCTCTGAAAACTGCCATGACATGAGACACGCAGAGAGAAACAGAATTCTGACTGTTTTGAGTCTGACACAGAACAGTCAGCCTGTTTTGATTTGATTTTTGCTCGTTATGTGATAATTACTCGCTATGGTTACTCGAAATGCCAATAGAAGTAACAGCCCGGATGCTGAGCCGCATGTTTTGGCACGCAGCGTTTCGAGCCGCAGGTGAAACGCGGCTCGAAACGCTGCCGTTTTTATTCTTTCTTTTGACAATGTGTGAAAGCTGGATGAAATGTTTAAGCTTCAGCAGACATTTTTAAATCACCACAGTATGATGAATCTGCACATCCTAGTTAAAATCAGACATTGTCAAACTCACAGCTGAAGGGTTTCTGTATTTTATGTTTTCTCCTTCATATTATGATGTTTCTAAGTTATTTAAGTGCCCAAAGGTCTGTATTATCATTATTATTATTATTGTTTTCATTTTTTATTCAAAATAACTTCAGAATGTCTAGTTATTTTGAGGTAAAGAATAATAACAATAACAATAACCAATAACGCTACAGCAATGTTAACTGAATGATGATTGGTCTAACAATACAAGGCGTTTGATTGGCTGAAAGAACTAAGGAGCGCCTTCCCTTTAGAGGCCGATGTAAACAAACACTCACTGAGCATGCGTCATGGGAATAATGGAGGACTGTCTGTGGTAACCGAAATAATCTGATCTGTTTGCACTCCGTCTCTCGCGCTTTGAGGATAAACCTTCTTCTCTCCACCTCAGCGTGTGTAAGGTAACGCCTGTCACTGAAAAACACACTTACTGATCGAAAGACAGAGTTTACTTCGAGTTTTGCGAAGAAAGTGAGCGTCAGCAAACGAGCCATGTTTGCTACTTGTTTAGCTGAAAGTGGAGGAAGCTGTCAGATCCCTGAGAGACCGCCGAGCTCTTTCACTACATCACTGACAGCGCAGATGTTTGCAGCTGGGATCATGGGGAAAATGGCCGCAGTTAAAGCTTGTTCTTGGTTAGAGGGCAGCAGTAAGGAAGAGATGGCCATCCGTCCACTTAGCTGAGACATTCCCCAGTTCTGCATATCCTTTCCACATTGTTCACGCTTCCTAGACTTTTTGTCAGTGTGATCACTTCAGAATGTCTAGTAACTATTTCTTGTCTGGCCGCAAATATTATTACTATTATTATTAGACAACCTTTGTTTGCAATGGCACAATAGCATTCGAAAATCTGAAAATGGGTCATTATTGTGCATCAAACCTTCAACAGTTATTTACTTCTGAGCCTCTCAGACGACTCAGGATTAGCTGCTGCAGGCACAGCAGGATAGACTGTCCAAGAAACTGTGGAATATAAAATGAGCAGAGATGGAATCCTCTCTCTTTTTGAACCGATAGGTAAGCTCCCATTGCTTGGAAGTTTCCACTGATCAGGTTTGGAAGTTGTGAATGTTTTCCCTCATGAGAGCAATGTGAACCCCTTTCGAGCGGTGCAATCCATATGACCTTTCCCTGGCTGAGCTTCAGCAACTGTGTCAGTCTGTGCTCTTGACACATACTTTCAGAGTTTCAGAGCAGCAAACCTTATGCGTTTAGGTGCTCACAGTTGCTGCTGATCAGGCGAATAAAGCATTTGATTAACAGATCACTCTTCCTGTGGACATTTTACAGATGAACTTTGTTTTTTTCCTTACCCGCTCTTGCATTTCCAGATCATTTTTTTGTTTTGGTTACACATGTCCTGACACAAATTGATATATTTCATTAATGCACCTGCACTGCTGTTTTGTTTGATCATATAAAATCTACAAATATATTTTGAACCCCCAGAAAGTAGTAGAGCATTGAGGTTTACACACACTGGAAAAGGAAAGTGTTTTTGAGTAGATTTGTTAAAAAGAGTGGATGGAGATCTATAATTTGAGCAACCAGGCAACAGCTCTGTGTGTCTGCATTTTCCATTAACAGTACATGTGTTGCATGGAATGCCAAGATGACTACGGACACTCCAGACCAAACTCCAAATTTCAGGGTAATGACATTCACCCCCTCCAAAGAAGAGTTCAAGGACTTTGTTCGGTATGTTGCCTTCATGGAGTCACAAGGAGCTCACAGAGCTGGAATTGCCAAAGTAAGAAGATCATTTTATTCACATGAATCATTTTGTTTTTATGATTCTGTTTGAGATGGGATTTCAACCTTTGTTGTGTGTCATAGTGCTGAATGTATAATTTTACTAATGTAACATTTTATGAGGAAATAATCGGTGTACTTTCAATGAGAAGAGCAACATAGGAAGGATAACAACTTGACCGAGTTTCCTCTGATCACATCAACTTTGTGCAGCTCAAGACTAAGTCCTTTAAACATGATGATGTCATTAAGAACTCAATGAAAGTTTTTGTGTTCAACAGAGGCAAAATACTTCTCAGCAGCTGTATCTATAACTGACAGTTGACTCACTAGTCTGATTTATATGGCTTTCATTTGGCCAAAAAAAATCTTTGCTAGAGTTATAAACCATTAGATGTAAAAATGTATCAATGCATACCGTTTTTATGTAATCTGATAATAAAGTATCAAAAACTTTTCAAGCAGAAATGTATTTTGAGATGTTTGTTGATATAATTATACAAAGGAATGTAACACAATCTTGGATCTAAATCTTCCTAGCAGACTCAAGTAGACTGTAAAAAGTTTTCTCTGCATTACTCTTCTCTGAAGTGTATCATCTCTGATTGATTTACTTGCAGATCATTCCACCTAAAGGCTGGAAACCAAGAAATACATATGATGACATCGATGATCTGCTGATTCCTGCTCCAATACAGCAGGTGGTCACTGGCCAGTCGGGATTGTTCACGCAGTACAACATCCAGAAGAAACCAATGACTGTCCTTGAGTTTCAGAAGACCTCCAATTTGGCTAAGTCTGTTTGCACAGCATTTACCTTTATTTACTTTTAACACTGTATTTATTAGATTCATTTTGGTATTACTGGTAATCTCCAAATATGTGAACATTTAGGTTTTGCAGCCCCAGATATGTGGATTTTGATGAGCTGGAAAGGAAGTTTTGGAAGAACCTGACCTTTAACCCCCCACTGTATGGAGCTGATGTCAGTGGAACCCTATTTGATCTAGTGAGTGGGGACTCGAAAAAACACGATTGTTTTCTTTTTGTTTGTTTTTTTATGAGTCATGTTTTTTGTTGATCACAGTTTCCTATGAATCCTTCTGATGCAGGACGTGTCTGAATGGAACATGGCCCATCTTAACACAATCTTGGACACTGTGGAGAGTGAGAGTGCAGTGAAGATAAAAGGAGTTACCACCCCATGCCTTTATTTTGGGATGTGGAAGAGTGCTTTTCCTTGGCACACAGAGGACATGAATCTTTACAACATTTGCTACCTGCACTATGGCGAGCCCAAGTCATGGTAAATAAGAAGGTTTATCTTACAACATTTAGTTTATTTTATGAATGCAGCACAAATTAATAACTGTCATCTCAAGGCATTTTACAAAAAAAATCAATCATACTTGGATTCCATTTGATCCTAATTATCAATTGGAATCTTCCTATGCTTCCAATTGATCATACATTAATTCCCTGAATGTTTCAAGGAAGATTATAATTACGCTAAATTAAAACAAAATTATCTGTTGCCCAATGTCAGTTCTCCACTATGAAATAAGACTTGATGTTAATGTCTCTTCCTCTTTAATTTGTTAAAGAATGTGACCATAAAACTGACAAACATTGAGTACATCTGCACATCCACACTAGATATATTTGTGATTGAACAAAGTATTGAATGTTTTAACTTCCCACCAACTAGTTTATAAAGTTTTATGGGTTTTGTTTTTCTTATTTGAAAATAATGTGTTTAACAGCCAGCCATATTAGTCATTTGCTTTCCACAGATTTTTACTTTGCTCTTTGAATAACTGTCTCAGTTTCGTTAATTTGCAGGTATGTTGTTCCACCAGAGCATGGCAGAAGACTGGAGCGACTTGCTAAAGGTAAGAAGAAAGTCTGCACACGTGTTTTCATCCTTCAGTCTTTTTCATTGCATAACCTTCCATCATAATGCAACTTCTCTCTGAATGAATGATCTCACTGTGTCAGCTCTGGTTGCTGTTGATCTAGTTTTAGTTTTTCTTATAAATATATCAACAGGCATATTTTTCAAAATGTAAATCATAACAGGGATAAATGTTCATCTGACCATTAGACGCACGCTACATAATTTTAGCACTGATTGTTAGTTGTGAAAGCCTGCAAGTGCATGATGGGAACTGACCTGACCGGAGCCTGATCTGGAAGCATTCTGTAGGGTCAAACAACTGCCAACCCAACTGGCAACACATGTGCTGACAGCCGATGGAAACGAGCTGAGATACAATGTCAGCTTGTTTTTTTATGTTTTCACTTTATTTGTAAATATATTATAAATCATTCCGAATGTAAACACAAAATAGACAACACAAACTATTAACTCATTACAATTATAGCGTGACAATAAAAAAGCAAAAAAACAGCAAAAGGGAAAAACACTTGAAAACGTGAGACTGAAATACAAAAACTAATGAAATAAACCACATATGTAAATTGAACATAAAGGTAAAAATCATTTTACAGAACAAATATGTATAATTTGGAAAATAAAATTTTTTAGTTGGGGTTTAAGTTAAAGAACTGACATTACCATATTAAATCTGATTTTTTTAAATAAAATATTTGCTTACTTATCATATCTCCTAATATTTTATTTTAACATTTCAGTATGAACTTTAACAGAATTTCTGAACTGTAAGCCAACTACTTTTTTTCCGATGCTTTGAACACTGCAATGCAGCTAATTGTTTTTTACCAACGGGTTTGGAAAAGCTGGACTGCTGTGTGATGAAGAAGATGGTACGAGCTGAAGCGTGAATTTGCCTCGAGACGAAAGTGATGTTGAGATGAAAAAGAGGAGGCTGTTCAATTCCAATACAGAAGTAGGGAACGTTGTAAAATCACATCCAAAGAAAAATGTCAAACCCAAAAAGATTACAGGCTGGCTGATCAAGAGATCAATCAATAAAGGCTTGGAATATTGATTAGCAAACCGCTTTAATATCAAAATTATTTGGAACAACATCCTGCCTGAACAACATAGTCTGTATGAGCCTGTTTACAGGTTTTACTAGGTAACCAAATCTAGACCTAACTTCCGTCTGTGCAGTATAGTCATTATAGTGTACAGTTGAAGTCTGGTCAACAGTATGCAGAATGTCGGAAGCACCGACATCCTGTCTGGCCCACAATACTAAGGCTGGGATCTGGGTCTGTCTGGCCCACAATACTAAGGCTGGGATCTGGGTCTGTCTGGCCCACAATACTAAGGCTGGGATCTCGGTCCCTTACGTCCACTGGTATGTTCACTACGGTCATAGCGGCAGAGTCACCTCCCACAGACCGACCAGTGTTTGGGACTGGAGGTCATGCTCTGTAAGTCAGCTACATCCCCCACTGATGAATTTGGCTCAGACAGCTATGTTATCAATTCAATGGTTCTCCTCTCGGAATCCACAGGCTCTGGATCAGGCAAAGGGTTCACCACCCAGGTAAGTCCCCAACATTGCCACAATCAAAGCCAGCCTTGTCTCCAGGTTCTGTTGTCGCTCTCATGCAACATTTCCCCATCTTCTCCAAAGCCATCTGCTTCCGGGACTGAGGATGCATTAGCAGAGAGTGAGAAGGCAGAATCAGATACTTCACATGTGGGATCCACTGGGAGGAAACTAACAAGCATCAGCATGTTCCTATGAACCACCATTTTCTGTCCAGATCTTGTACGGATGTGTTATTGGATTAATATCTGTCACAGAGTTGATAGTTGATTCCCACTGGTCAGCAATCAGTCTCTTTCCTCTTGGTAAAGAGCACTCTGTCACTGATGGCAATACTAGTGGCCTTGACTTTCTGACCATGTCTTCTCTGTCCTTTTGAAGCATGGTCCTTAGCAATCTTCATTACTTCCCTCACGTTGTTGGTAAGACATGTTACATACATGTCATAGTTCCCCACAGCAGAGTCATCAAGGACAGCATCAAAGAGGGCATCAACAGTCTGGCGAGGGACATGGCCAAACATGAGGTAAAAGGGGGGATAACCTGTTGTCTCATGAACTGCACAGTTATACAGAAAGGCTTGTGTCTGTAAACGTCACGGCCAGTCAGCTTTCTCTTCAGGGGACAATGCACAGATCATTCCACCCAAGGTTCGAATAAACTGCTCCACGCTTCCGTTCCCCATCGGAGGATATGGTGTTGAGTGTGTGTGACTTTCTGACACCTGAAACCCTGAGGAGCTCACAAATCAGCTGACTTTCAAAATTAGCTCCTTGGTCACTATGAATTCTCTCAGGAAAGCCAAAGACACAGAAATCTTTGTCTCAGAAAACCCTCCTACTTAGCTGTCTGGTCTCTACATGAAAATGGCTGAGCCATTCTTGTAATGTGGTCAGTAATCACTGACACATCAAGAAATCTGTTTTTGGAATCTTCGGCTGACTAAAACTCAATACATACGTGTCCAAGCTGTCTGGTTGATGTTATAGTCTTCAATGGAGCTCTACCCTCAGGCTGGATGAGCATGGTGACCTGCTCTGTCATGAACTCCATAAAGTACCTCAGTCTTGAGCGAGTCAGGTACAATGTACTGGAATCTTTTTGCTTTGGTTTTCTGGTCCCTAGAAATCTTGTATAGCACACCTTTTCAAACAGGTAGTTTATCCCAATGCTTTGGATACTTTGTCACAGAGACAAACTCTGTGAACCTCTTTCTCCCAGAGGGTCTTCTACGCCTCTCAACATAGTGTAGAACACGAGAGAGAGTTCTGTCTTCCAACTGTCTCACAGAATAGGCAGGGAAGATGTCTTGACAAGATGGAATGAGTTGAGGCAGATGATGGACCAATTTAATGGCACGGGTTCTCTCACCAGCATCCCACTTCAATTGTGAGTGTAACACAGCAGACACATCTTCCATTGCAACAGACTGAAGGTGCAGTTTTAGTGGGCTGCATGCTGATTGAGCTTTAACACTCACTGAAGAGGATTCTTTCTGACCACTGAATGATCAAAAGGTACTGGATCGAGAAGTTTGACATATCTCTAACTTCAGCGAGAAGACTGGCATAGGGTTCAGTGAGCAGCCTGCGGCCAACAGTCTCCCGAACAAATTTTTCACGATTCAGTGCATCGGCAACAATATTCTGCAGACCCGGGATGTACTTGGTATCAAAGTTGTAACTCACGAATATAGCCACCCAGCGTTGCTCACAACAGTCCAGTTTAGGCTTAGTCAGAATATAAGTTAATGGATTGTTATCAGTCCATACTGTGAATTTGTTGCCTTTCTACCAGTGGCTGAACTTGTCACAGATGGACCATTTTAAGGCCAGAAACTCCAACCTGTGAGCTGGGTACTTCTTTTGTGACCGGGACAAAGACTTGCAAAGACAATGGGCCTGGCTCGTGTCTCACCCTGCTGAACCTGAAACAGAACAGCACATATGCCATCCAGAGATGCATCAGTGGATAGCACAAAAGAACAGGTGAAATCTGGGTGAACCAAGACAGCGCTTGGTTCACCCAAGTGCTGAGGACTTCAGTTGTTCGAAGACTTGTTCCTGTGTGATAGTCCAGTCACAGGCTTTCAACTATCTGGATGGCAGTTTATTCTGATGATGTTTGCCTTAGGGACAAGGGGGTAAGAAAATGGATGAATGCCTTTCCTTCTATCGCCCCTTAGCAGATCAAACAGCAGCTTGGCGATGACAGAGTACCTGGGCACGAAATGTTGATCGAAGTTTATCATCCCCAAAAAGGATCTTATCCGCTTCTGAGGTGGAGTCACAGCAGCTGGTTCCATAAGTTGAGCAGCTGTCATGTTGGCGATGATCTCAGCCTTACTTGAATCTGTTGAAACACCATGTTCATCAACAATGTTGCCAAAAAACTTAACAGATCTCCTTAGAAAGAAACACTTTTTGGGAACTAGTTTCAAATTGTGGCTTTGCAACCTGGTAAACACCATCTTCAGACACCTCCTCACCTGAACATGGGGTTATCCATCCTCACGCAAGTATGCTTTGCTTCCCTGTCATTATTATTTGGTATAATAATTTTAAAAAAAATTAAAAAGTGGATTAGATCCACTGTTTTTATGGGCCACTGGAAGTATGCCCATGATGACCTGTATTTGTGTCTTTTAGGTTTGTGCTGCTTTTGTGCGATTTGTGCAACAAGCACATGATGCGTGTCAGCACACATGCTCAGTAGCGGTTTCTGATATGGGTGGCATGGGCAACCGCCCAGGGCATCATCATCTGGGAGTCGGCATGATGAAGTGACTGTATCTTAACTAAAATAATATGTCCTGGACACTTTTCTTGAAAAACTGTACTTTCTTAGGCACTTTTTCAGATGATCGGTAGTAGGACCATCATTTTCATTTTCCATGAAATGAGAAATCAACAAAACAATCTATTTTATGTCAGCAAAATAAAAAAAAAGCAACTAAACATTCCATAAATGAATGTTTCTATCTGATGTAGCAGCCTAATTGACATCTAGGAAGGAAGTTTCAATGAAATGCATAAAAAAAATAAACATTTTGGTGCATGTCAAAACTTCTCTAAAATTAATTAATTTTTAAATTTTTTTTAAGAACAAACAAAAAACCATATTTTCTACTAGCAATATCAAGGAAACTATTAAAGATGGCCAAATGTGGATGCCTTTATGTTATTCAGCAGCCTAATTTACCTGTAGTAGAGAAGTTTTATTGACATCTGATACAAAGTACAAATTTAGAGAGTGGTCAAAAAATACTAAATTTTGTCAATTTTTCAAAAAAAAAATTTGCAGGTTGCAAAGTCTGTAATGAAAACATTTCCACAAATGTTTTGTGGAAACATTTTTGTGGCCTATTAAATATTTATTAAACAGTACTAGACCCCTACAAAAATGTT